TATTCCTGAGTTTCCTCAGTTAAGTGAAGAGGGTGATAACGGTACAGGAAGTCACTGGGCATTGTTGTTGTGAGTTTATGAGACAACCCATATAAAGAGCTAAGTTCTGAGCTTTGACACATTTTAAGTACTTAGTGAGAATTAATTATTATACTGTTTATTAATCAGTTATCAGTTTAAACTTAACAAAGAATAAACACTTTAATTCTTTGCCAACATATTGCAAAATGCTTCAGAAGTGTCCTCATTATAAAGTAGGCTTCTCCACCGAGGGAGTTCTTCCTTTTTAAAAATTTGTGGTTAAATAAAATTCTAAGCTTGGAGAGGGACAGGTTTTTAAAATATTGGCAGGGGGCCTGGAATTTTTAAAAATAATAATTCTTATCACCCTTTCAATCATCTGAACCACTCCAATCACTGCCAAAACATTTCTTTGTTACCATAGAGACCCCTAGAAATATTCATATATTAAATAACAAACATTGCTCAACAAGAATAGAACGGAAGATGAGACTCTCCTGCTTAAATTTCTGAATTAATTATTTTTGAATACAATTGAGAGATTTTTCTGGATATTCTCAGATAATAAAACGCCTTTTGTGACTTTAATCCCCCTACCGGTCTCAAATCATAGAATCCTTTTTTTATGGTAACATATTCAGTACTGTAAAACTGTCAAAATTCTGCACTCCTTTCAAAGGAAAATCTCCTGGTCTCTGCTAGCTTTGCGTATGTGTTTGTGGTGTGTGCGTTTGGGGGGGGGGGGGGGCGGGAATCTAAGATGCACAGTAATCTTATTCTAAAGAAATCCTCCAAATTCTCATTGGTCCCACCCTTTCTATTTTATCCCCTGTTATAGTTTTAAAAAGTGAAGGCATTAAGAGCCAAGAGCCATAAAGGAGTTTGCCCCCTTCCTTTGCTTGCCCTGCACAGGTGTTCTTGAATCTGTCTCATATTAGATTTTGGGAGAAGTTGGTTTTCAATACTGTGGGGACTCAGGTGAAAGAATTTTTCCTTTTTAATACTCTGTTGTGTAAACTGGTATGTTGTGCAGCATATTCTTAGGAGAAAGACCCGGCTTGTTTTGTTTTAAGTTTTCCTTTTTTTGGGGGGGGGGGGGCCGGGGGGGGAGGGAGAACTAACACACGCACGTGCATCGAGTGGGGGAGAGGCAGAGAGAGAGGGAAAAAGAGCATCCCAAGCAATCTCCTCACTGTCAGCGCAGAGCCCCATGCGGGACTCAAACTCAAGAACCCTGAGATCAAGACCTGAGCTGAAATCAATCGGCAGATGCTTAACCAACTGAGCCACCCAGACACCCCAAGGACGAGGTATTTTAAGGCTTCTCCAGGTTTTGAACAAGCGGAAGGTTTAGGTTAGTCATACTAAACATTTGCTTGTGTGTTTTGTAATTAATAAAGTGCCATTTAATGCGATGTGGCCACTCTTCACTCTGTGAGGTTACCAAAAATGTGAAATGTTACCAGGAACGGTAGTACAGCTTCCTTAAGTCACAGAGTGCTATAGGTATTTTAAATTCTCAATTTTCTCCACCTCCACCCTTTCTCCTTCATTAACTACAATAACAGCAATAGCAGCTAGTAACTTAAGACTATGTGTGTCTCAGACAAAGTATACAAGTACACATAGTGTCCCTTGAAATTTGACTAAGCATAAGAGTCAACAAAACTGAGTATCCCATTATAAGGAACATCCATATCCATAAACCCCAAATTAAACATTATAAGTATTTCAGAAAACTTGTTCCTCTAAAACCATACTATCAGCACTAGTATTTATCAGCTTCCATTTTCTGAAGGAACTCTGAGCCAGTCTTGCAAAGTTGCCATGAATAATTCTTACCATGTCAAGAAAAGCGGAAACGCATTTTGTTCTTGTAAGAATCCGGGAAATGTTTTTGTTCAACTGAAAATATTCCATTCTTTCTTCACAAACTGCAGCAGCAACACCTCCCACCTGTCAGAGTTATATATACCCCAACAAGAGGGTTGAATCATTTTCCCAAGCTTGTGTGGTGGGCTCAGGCCCCTCCCCATCCCACGTCCAATGTGGAAGGAAGTGCATATGCATGAGGAAGAGACTCATTAACTCTATGGCAAGTCTGTAGTTCAAAGTATCTATTTTGTGGAGGGTCAAAAAAGGTTATGTAACTTTCATTTTAATCAACATTTCCAAGATGTTAAAGTAGGCTTGTTTTCTTTTTAAAAGGACAGGGGAGAAAAAAAAAGTAGAGATAATTCCTCTAATAGTATCGAATACACTTACAGACAGACATTTGGGAATAAAAAATGTTATGTGCAGATTTTCAAGGGCTTAAAGCTTTTCAAATAAATGTATGCACCATTAGCATTCACTCAGCTATAAAGGCTATAAAGGCTTTGATCTTCCTTTAAAAGGAGCAAGAGAAAAGAAGAAGGGAGTAAAAGAAAGAAGTGAGAAAGAGAAGCTGTCAGCAATTTGAATGCTGCCAATTATTACACCACTTATAAAGAGCTAATTAAACACGACTGCTTCCCAGAAGAATCATTTTTACTCTTTTTGTGTTCTCTTTTTATTTATACTGTAAAGAAACTTGATTATTGATAAGATCCACGTTGCAAGCTGAATTGGAATGTCTTTCTACAATAATGGTACCACACCATTCCTTTAGTTTACTGGAGTCCAGTCTATATGGTATTTCTGGTTTAGGAATTCTAGTCTCATGATTTCAGCCTGAAGCTCACTTTCAACAGTTTGCAAATAACATAGGATTACTGAATTTGTGTGTCTCGTTCTCTACATTCAGGCCAGCACATAACAGTAATCTATTTATTAATATTTCTAGCAATTAATACTGTCCAGACATACACTCAGGACCTAGGAGTCATTCTTAACGACTTCCTACCTCTGCCTCACCTTCTCATCTTCAATCAGTTATCAAACTTGTTTCAAACTACCTCCTAAATTCTCCACAATGGTTTATTTCCTTTGTCAACTTTCACTCTCATTCTTCCTCTGGGGGCATCATTGAAATTTGTTCTCAATTGCTGGCTCCCTCCTCATTTTTGAAGATACTCCTCAACACGTCTTTTCTCAGTGGGACCTAAATATTCTTGCATTTAAAACACTTTAAATGAAAATATAAAATAAAATAATAAATAACCTACTCTAATAACATGAAGACAGTTTTGTACAGTACATTTGGCAACTATATATTTTTTATTCTTTTGAATATTTATTTATTTATTGAGAGAGAGAGACAGAGTATGAACAGGAGGGGACAGAGAGAGAGGGAAGTACAGAATCTGACACTGTCAGCACAGAACTGTGGGCTCGAACCTACCAACTGCGAGATCATGACCTGAGCTGAAGTTGGATGCTTAACTGACTGAGCCACCCAGACATCCCAAAACTATATTTTATTTTAAGATTACAATTAGATCTATAATTTATCTCAAGTTGCTTTTGTGTATGGTTTGAAGTAATGGTCATGTCTCTTCCGCACAGATTTCCAAGTGTCCCAGCACCATTTATTGAAAAGACCACCTTTTCCCAGCTGTCGTACTGTGTCAAATTTATTTTACATCCTGTCCCTGTATGTGTGCATTAGTGACTGGGCTCTCTGTTTATATATTGTTGAATTATTTGTCTATTCTTATTTTATGGTGCAATGTCATAATTACCGTAACTTTATTATATGTCTAAAAATCAATTAGAGTGAGTTCTTCCAATTTTCTAAAAATTGTCTTCATTATTCTTAGTGTTTTCCTACATACCATTTTAAATTAACTTATCAAGTATGATGTTTGTAAAATGCTGTGACATCCTTTATCATAATAAGAAAGTTCTGGTCCATAATTTGTTTTGTAATTTATCATGAACAGTTGTTGATTTTATCAAATTCTTTTGCCATATCTTCTGTTGACTGCACGATTTTCTTTCTCTTCTGTATGTAAATGTGATGAATTTCATCAATTGTTTTTTTCAAATCTTAAAGTAAACTTGCATTTCTAAAATAGACACAGGATAGTAAAACAATAGTATCCTTTAAAAATACTTACTAGATTTGACTTAATATATTAATCTAAAATGTTTTCATCTAATTAATGAATAGACTGCTGTGTAAAGGTTATTTAAAAAAAATAATATATTTCAAGTTTGGGTGCCAAAGCCTGGCTTCATAAAAATAGCGAGTGTTCTTTTCTATGTTCTGGAAAAATTTGTGGAAAAATGGCATTATCTATTTTTTTTAAGATTTTAGTAGAAATTTCTGGGGAAGTAATCTAAGCACAGGTCTCCTTTGTGAAAAGTTTTTAATAAAAAAAATTTTAATAATGCCTACAAATACTTGCATTTCAATAGAAGTACTCCTATTTTCATTTCATATTTTGTCAATATTGGTTACTTTTGTCTTTAGAACTATTCAATTTCATTTAAATTTGCAAGTTAATTTGCATGAATTTAACCATAATATTATTATTACATATTACATATAATGCATATATACATAATATAATACTTACCATGATAAAATATTATTGTCTGGATGACTTACGAGTCATCCCTCCCATTCATTACTGATATCGTTATTTGTGCCTTTCTCTTTTATTCTTTTATTTTTTATTTTTTATCTGTGTTTAAGTTTATTTATTTTGAGAGATAGAGAGACCATGTGCGTGCTTATGGGGGCTGGGCAGAGAGGGGGAGAGACAGAATTCCAAGCAGACTCCCCACTGTCAGAGCAGAGCATGGGTTAGAACTCATGAATCTTGAGATCATGACCTGAGCTGAGATCAAAAGTCTGATGCTTAACCTACTGAGCCACCAGGGCACCCCTCCCTTTTCTTCTTCTTCTTCTTCTTTTTTTTTTTTTTTTAATATTTTAAATGTTTATTTATCTTTGAGACAGAGAGAGACAGAGCACGAGGAGGGTAGGGACAGAGATAGAGAGGGAGACACAGAATCCGAAGCAGGCTCCAGGCTCTGAGCTGTCAGCACAGGGCCCGAGATGGGGCTTGAACTCATGGCCTGGGAAATCATGACCTGAGCGGAAGTCAGACGCTCAACCCACTGAGCCACCCAGGCGCCCCTCTTTTATTCTTTTAATAGTTTCTTAAGAGTTAAAAAGTTTGAAGTGTTTTCACAAAAAACAATTTTGCCTTTGCTGATTATTTTAGTATATGTTATTTTTCTCTTTACTAACTTCTGTTCTTTCATTATCTTTTTTCTTCTACTTTTTAAGATTTAAATACTTATTTGTTTGTTTCTTTTTTTTTCTTTTTTAAGTAGGCTTCACACCCAGTGTGACCTGAGCTGAATTCAAGTCAGACCCTTAACCAACTGAGCCACCCAAGCAACCCTCTAAATTTCGAATTGATTTTTAGGTTTTCTTCTCTACTAATATATGCATTTAAAACAACAATTCTCTTTGAAAATGCAAGAGTGTTGATACGTAGCATTTTGTGTGCTATTAATATTTGTCCATGAATAATTTTCAATGTTAATTATAATTTCTTCTTTGATTCTAAATTACTTAGAAATTTACTGTTTTATTTAAGGAAATATGGAATTTTATAATTACCTTTAGCTAATGATTTCATGCTTTATTTTATTGTTCTCAGATTAAGTCTTCTGTAGAACTTCAATTTTGAAATTTATTGAAACAAGCTTTACACCTGGCATACAGTCATTGTTTTGTTTATGTTTTATGTATTAAGCTTGAAAAATGTGCATAGTGCAGTTTAGAAGATTAGGATTCTTTACATATCCATTAGTTCAAATTTGCAATCATGTTGATCAATACTGTGTGCTGTTAATACTTGTATTTTTCTACTTGTTCCGTTACTGCTGAAAGTATTGCAAAATTTCCTGCAAGTGTAAAAATTTCTGTTTTTCTTCTAATTTTGTCAGATTTTACTCTACATGGCTTGAAGACACATTTTTAGGTGTGTATGAATTTGGGTGTTTTGTTTCTGTTGAATCATTTTTCAATATGAAGCATCTCTCGTATTTCTAATAATGAGCTTTACCTATAAGTCTATTACATGAGCTATATTAATATATCTACACATGTTGCCTTTTTTAGTGTTTCACAGTATGTCTTTTTCCATTCTTTAATTTTTAGCCTTTATATGTATGTTATTTTATATATATGTGACATTAAAAACATTTAACATAGTTGGGTTTTGTATTTTAACCAACCCAGCCATCTTCTTCCTAAATGGCAGCATTTCTGTTATTTGTATGCAATAATTGACTAAACTAAGGTCAAGTTGCCCACTTTATGAAATCAAAGTTGCCTATAAGGGCCTTCAGTATGAGTTCAACTTCTAGTTGAAACGTACCTTTATGAACTAATCCTGTCATACACCTCTGATCTTATTTTCCCTCTCTTTTCCCCCACTGATACACATATCTCAGTTTACCAACCACATGATTCCAAATTCCAATTATATCTTCAAGTTGGATATGTGCATATGAATATTCCTGTTTCTTAATTCTATGTCAATAACATGCAGTTATATGTGTTCATATTTATGCTAAATAAAATTTTTAAAAAATTACTAAATGCTTTAAAATAAGCAAGATTAGGGGCGCCTGGGTGGCGCAGTCGGTTAAGCGTCCGACTTCAGCCAGGTCACGATCTCGCGGTCCAGGAGTTCGAGCCCCGCGTCGGGCTCTGGGCTGATGGCTCAGAGCCTGGAGCCTGTTTCCGATTCTGTGTCTCCCTCTCTCTCTGCTCCTCCCCCGTTCATGCTCTGTCTCTCTCTGTCCCAAAAATAAATAAACGTTGAAAAAAAAATTAAAAAAAAATAATAAAATAAGCAAGATTAAAGTAATTAACTATTCGGTTAATTAAGGATGGAGAAACTTGATATTTTATGAAAAAAATTATCAGGGAAGCTGACTCTGTTAAGGTTCCATGTGAGCAAAGACCTGACAAAAAATTAAGGAAGCAAGCCTTGAGGCGCTTGGTGAAGAACATAGAGAGCAATGGAAATAGCAAACACAAAGTCCTTGGACATGTGGTTGAAGGGTTTAGAGTGGGGAATGGGATGAGTGGAGAGGGTGGAGAGAAATCAGAGTTTTTTGTTGGCCAAACAAAAGAGACCAGGGTAAAACCTTTCATGGTGAATGACTTTAGAAGCCATGGGAGGGTCTTGAGCAGTAGGACTGACATGATCTGACTCACTTCATACAATTTTCACACTAACCGCCACTGAGAGCTGAGAGACTTCATTGTAGGAGGCAAGAATGGAAAAAAAAAAAAAAAAAAAAAAGAAAGAAAGAAAGAAAGAAAAGGAAACATTAATCAGGAATTATTTCAATAATCCATGGAGAGGTGATGTTGGCCTGAGCTAACATAATACTGGAGAAGGGCATGGGAAGTAGCTGTTTTCCAATAGATTTTCTGGTATAAACCTACCTAAAGGCCCAAACTTAACTCCTCATATGTCTCCCACTGACCCCTCCCACCTAAATATGCCTTTATTGATCTTTCCCACCTCAGGAAATGAGGACTCCATTCTTCCAATTGTTTAGTTCAAATATCTTGAAATCATCCTTAACTGCTCTTTTTCTCCTATACCTTGTATCACACTGGTGACTCACATAATCTACCTTGAAAACATTCCCTTCCATGCAATTCTTCTGCTACTTTCTGAGTCTAATTTGCATTCTGTTTTTGCCTACATTAGTATTATAAATAAAATATTAATGAGTCTCCCATCTACCATTCTTCCCCTTAAATATTTTCTCAATAGAATGGGCAAATTGAGGGAGAACCTGTGTAGAGACATCAGATGTTTTCAGTCCTTTCCTCAAAATCTTACATCAGCTTCCACCTCACTAGAAATGCAAGCCAAAGCCCTGCTGATGGACCCCAGAGTCCACATGAGCTTCTCATCTCCTGTACCTGGACTCCTCTTTCCCTCACTTTCACTGCTCAGGCCTCTTTGTAAAGTTTCTTGACTGTTCTAGATAAACACCACCTTAGTCCTCCATATTTCTTTTCCTTTGCTTGAAATATTCTGTCCAAAGAAATCCACATGACTGGATCTTTCATACCCTTCAGATCCTTACTCAGAAGAATATCCATGAAGTCTTCCTTGGCAACCCAATCTAAAACTCCATATTCCTACACCTCCATACCTACATACACATACACACACACACACACACACACATTTTGCTTTTCTTGTTAGCATTTATCACCATCAGTACTTTATTCAGTATGTATTTTGCTTATTCGTGTCATTTATTTTCTGTGTTCTCTTAGAATCTAAACTCCATCAGGCTAAGATTTTTTTTTGTTTGTTTTATTAACTACTGTCTCCAGCATCTAGAACAATGTCTGCCATATAATAGATGTTCAACAAATATTTATTAAATAACATGTTAATGATAATGGGTCCAACTTCATAGAATAGATCTTAACAACTGTTGACATAATCATATTTCTTATTAAAATAAATGTCCTGTCTTTCAGTTTGGGAAAGAGAAGTGAGAAATTTAAGAATATATGTTCTACAATAAGTAAGCCAATATTTATTGGATACTTACATGTTCCAAGTTTTTTGCTTGGAGGTGACAGGTATGAAAATGAATTAGTTATGCTTCTGCACACAAGCAGTTCAGAATTTGTATTTATAAGATATTATTTTGTGAACATTTCATGCATACTATGAATGAGGCTATTTCAGTATTTACATCATACCATTTTATATTCTCAACAATGTCATATGCTATGTAAAGCATAAGGTTGAGGTGCACCTACATCTCCCTCTAGTTTGGTGAATTTGGACATATTACTTACATTCTTAAAGTTTAGTTACCTTATTTGAGTAATAAAACAGAATTGTTGAGCATATTCAATGCATTACTATACAGAAACTAGTATAGCATTTGTGTAATATGAACTTGCATCATTAAATTATACAAATATTATCTTACATCTATTCTTAATTATTTAATTATACTACTATTAACAGTCTTGCGAACTAAGCAGTTTCTGAGGACAACTATAATGCAAATATATAATTAGAAGATGGTGTTACTGAAAACACACAAAATTATGTAGTTTTGGCAATGATGTGCGGAAACATCTCCACTGCTGGTGGGAATGTTACTTGCTACAATACTTCAGGAAAAAATTGGCCACAGATAACAAGAAGCTTAACACTGTGAAACTTACATATCGGTGTTGAAGAAAGTCTAATGGAGAGTTTGCTCAGAAAACAAATTCAAAATAAATTTAGTAATGTCGATGGAGACTCAGCTGAGAAATAGTTTTAACATGAGACTAAAAGCTTTGGCCCTGATCTGCTAGGTAATAGCTATCAAAAATTTTTAAAGGTTTATCCTCCTAGGATTTAATAATTTGTATTGGAAAAGAAGGACACTGAAGGAATAGAGAGCCTATTAAGAATTTATAGCAACTGCCCAAGTACTTAGTGAAATGACATCAAGCTAGTGATAATGAATATGTTTAAAAGTGAAAAAATGAAAATTATTTTAAAAGAAGAATTGACAATAATTCAAGATCTAAGTTATTTTATTTCTTAAATTTCAGTAACTGAGCTTAAAACATTAAGCATCGTTAACTTTTCCTCTTTACTGAAATTTGAGTCCTTTTTAACTAAAAGTGCTTAGAACGATTAATGTCTTTTTAATTAAAAGCATACAATCAAAAGCCTAACAACAAAAACTCCATTGAACATTCAGAAAATTTCACTAAACTTCAATGTAAACTTTAAAAGTAAAAACTAAAATAAAATCATAAAAAGAGCATAATTAATATTAAATGGAATAGTCAGCTGAATTGAAGCCATTAATTTGATTTTGAAACTAAATTGAATTATTGAGTTCACTAATTTCATCCAGAAATGGATTTTCTGGTCATAAATAAATTATTCTCCTTTTTGACTAGCACAAATATTTCCTATAAATTTGCATCCCTCAATATTACGTGCATGTAAAAGTTTTATAATGTCCAAAATATTTTTAAATTTTACATTTAATTAATGTTTATTGCTAGTATCAAGTAATTAAATGTAAAATACTCTTTTGTTTAGGATACTGGTGAC